TCTCCGTGTTCTGCCACCAGCCTGGCCCCCTTATAAACCGGCGTCCTCTCTCGAGGGCACACCAGTGGGAGAGCAAGATGGGCCTCCTGCGGACTCCACTGTCCCTTTTGCTCCTCCTGCTCAGGGAGCCTGCCTGCCTGAGGACTGAGGACCACCCCCGCTGTCCAGGTAGGGTCCTAGGCTTCACTAGCCTCAAGGAGCAGGTGGCAGTTTGACAACCTGGGCTCTGCAAATAGATGCAAAGAGTGCAGAGCTTGGAAAGCTCTTGGAGGCAAGTATCCTGACAGCTGGAATCTGGGAGAGGGAAAGGGGACCGCAGAGAGGCCTGGGAGAGAGAGACATGCCCACTCCCCCATGACCACTCTGTGCCCACCCAACCCCGATCTCCCTGCAGAACCCAGGGAACTGGAAGCCAGCAAAATTGTCCTCCTGCCCAGCTGTCCTGGAGCCCCAGGGAGTCCTGGGGAGAAAGGAGCTCCAGGCCCTCAAGGTGAGCGATGCCAGGGAGCGGCGGGGACCGGGGGGAGCTGGGAGGCTGGAGGCAGTGCAGCAATAACTGCTAAGAGGCCACGACGAAAGGGCCAGGAACCTGCTGTATGCCGGGCTCCAGGCGGGGCGCCCAGCGTCCAAGGTCAACTCTATGAGGTGGGTGGAGAGTTCCCCCCATCTTACTGAGGGGAAAGTGAGGCCCCAAGAGCATAACGCCTTTGTCCACAGTTACCGACAGTGGAGGGCGCAGCTGGGATTGGACTTCTGGCTGCAAATCCCTGTTGCTCCGGCCCTGGGTGTGGAGTGGGACTTACAGCATCTCTGTCTCTGGATTTCAGGGCAGCCTGGACCCCCCGGCAAGATGGGCCCCAAGGGCGAGCCGGGTGAGTGTGTGGGACCGGGGCCTCTTCCTCCTTTGCTCTGTCGCTCAGCTAGAGAGGGAGGGTGCTCTGCAGGGCTGCTGCCCAGCCATCGGCTGTGACTGCCCTCCCGCAGGGGGTGGAAGGCTGAGATGAGTGGGCAAGGTTAGAAGGGCCTGGGCACCCTCCCCTCTGGTGGCTGGCGGGCATCCCCTCGGGGGTACTCAGACCTTAGAGCCAACACCCAGTCTTTCCGTGGGACAGGAGATCCAGCGAACCTGCTCCGATGCCAGGAGGGTGAGGCAGCCTTCCAGGAGCCGGGGACTTGGACCAGGCGGTGCTGGGGTGTTGGTGGACCACCAGGCGTGGGCCAGCCCTAGAGCCCCTGTCGGGGGCCTGAGGGAGCAGGGTGGGCTCCTGAGGTCCCACACTGAGCCTCTTCCGTTGCCCATGGGTGGGAGCGGGGCATAACTGGGGGGGTGGGGGGGGGGGCGGGCCCTCAGTCCATCTCCCCTTCCCCAGGTCCCAGGAGGTGCCAGGAGCTGCTGAGCCGAGGTGCCACCTTGAGCGGCTGGTACCACCTGTGCCTCCCTGAAGGCAGAGCCCTTCTTGTTTTTTGTGACATGGACACCCTGGGAGGTGGTTGGCTGGTGAGTGTCAGAGACTCACAGGCCAGGCCCAGTGGGCAATTCTGCCCCTTGTCCCCTAGGGGGAGTCAGAGCCCACTGGAGACAGGGCATTTCTTAGAGTAATTCATTGACAAAAGTTGACGGTGCTCCCAGGGGATCTGAAGTCAGAGAAGGCTTCAGAGACAAGGTGACATTTGACAGGGCCTTGAAAGCTGTATAGAAGTTCTCAAAACAGATGAGGTGCAGAAGGGCATCCCAGGTAGAAAGACAGGACAGTGCAGGAGGGTTTGAGGACCAGGTGGGTGAGCTGAGAGCAGGTGTGAGTGGTTGGCTGAGGTCTCTGGTGCGGGTCAAAGTGCAGTTCGTGGAGGGCCCTGAATGACTGACTAAGGGTTGTGGGGGTAACTGGAGCCACGGGAGACTTTTAAGCAGGGATTTGCCAGGTCAGGCTTATGCTTTAGAAAGATGGCAGCGTGGAAGGTGCATTGTGCAGTGGGGGACAAGAGTGGAGACAGGGCCCTGACCGGTTTGGCTCAGTGGATAGAGCGTTGGCCTGCGGACTGAAGGGTCCCAGGTTCGATTCCGGTCAAGGGCATGTACTTTGGTTGCAGGGACATCCCCAGTAGGGAGTGGGCAGGAGGCAGCTGATCGATGTTTCTCTCTCATTGATGTTTCTAACTCTCTACCCTTCTCCCTTCCTCTCTGTAAAAAATCAATAAAATGTATTTAAAAAAAAAAAAAAAAAGAGTGGAGACAGGGACACAGGTTAAGAGGATGTCAGAGGCCCGGGCAGGAGAAGACAGTGGGTGGTGGCAACAACGGAAGTAGAGGCACTTGGACTGAAAGATATTGAGGAGGGAAACTCTACAGAGCCTGGGGACTGCTTGGCTTGACGGGGACCATCAGGGTAAGGTCAGGAGTCCAGCGTGGGCCTCTGGGGGTGACCTCTCTGGTATAATATCTTGGTTCTTATCATAGTGAATTCAAGCAAGTTATTTTGAATCGGGCTCCCAGCAGGATTGACCATCTCAGGAAACCAGGAATGATGATTCTATCATTTCAGTCTCCCCCAGGGCTTGCAAGGCTCTGGTGTGAAGTTGAGTGTCACTAACTATGTGACTGGCACTAACAGTTAATAAGAGGATGTAGAGTTCGTCGATATACGCACAGGCAAAGCTCACTTGGACTCACACTTTATCAACAAGCCCCAATCCAAAGAGTCCAGAGTGTTTGCCTGCTTCTCCTCAGCCTCCGTCCAGCCTGGAGTAGTGGCTGGTGTGCCAGCCTGCTCTGCCTCCCTAGGTGTTCCAGAGGCGACAGGATGGCTCCGTGGATTTCTTCCGCTCTTGGTCCTCCTACAAAGCAGGTTTTGGGAATCAGGAGTCCGAATTCTGGCTGGGGAATGAGAATCTGCACCAGCTGACTCTCCAGGGTAAGTTCCCAGCAGGGTCCAGGGAGCCTGAGGGGCATTCCTCTGGCTTCGGGGCCTGAGGATTCTTCCTCCCTGTCCCCACCCTAGGTACCTGGGAGCTGCGAGTGGAGCTGGAGGACTTTGATGGCAACCGCACCTTTGCCCACTACGGGTCCTTCCGCCTCCTTGGAGAGTCGGATCACTACCAGCTGGTGCTGGGCAAGTTCTTAGAGGGCACTGCCGGTGAGCGACCCTCAGGTGGGGCCCTGGGTTAGGGGGAAAGGTGAGGGAGGCTGGATACTTGCCCAGCACTCCCTCTGCCTCCATGATGACCCAGGACAATCCCTTCTCCTCTGTGGGCCTCAGTGTCCTCCTCTGAGAAATGGCAATCAGGAGGCAAGGTGGTACAGGAGGAGAGAATTTGGGCTCTGGAGGCAAACAGACCTGAGTTTGAATCCACCTCTGTCATTTACTAATTGTGTGAGCCTGGGCGAGTCCCTTCCACATCAGAGCCTCGCTAGCTGCGCTGTAAAGTGGACCAGGAGGCAGGAGGGAGGCTGTGGGACTCTAAGGTCTGTTGCGTGTTAGCGATACCTTCTTGGAAGAGGAACCAGGGAAGGCTTTTTTTCAGAGAAGCAGCAACTGTTGAGGAGAGACTTGAAAGAGGGAAGTCTGCCTCAGGGGAGCCCCCTTTCCTGCCAGCCGTCTGAGAAGTCCCTCCCAGCTCTCCCTGACCCAGCTGCTCAGGCTGCTGGTGGGAGCTGGGAAGAGACGAGGAGCTAGAGGGAGGCTGGGGATTCTGTGAGGGGACAAGGCAGCGGGAGGAGCTGGTGGCTTGGAGCCATAGTCCTGAGTTCAAGTCCAGTGCCCCTGCGACTAGTTGAGTAACCTGGGGCAAACACTGGCTCCTTGGCGCTGCTTTCTCTCGGGGCCTGATGACACCCACCTCTCAGTTGCTCTGAGGCTCCTGTGAGGTCATCTCTCCCAGGGCGCCAGGCACGGTGCCGCCTCCAATGTGCCTCCCATTCCTTCTCGGCCAGGGGACTCCCTGAGCTTTCACCATGGGAAGCGCTTTTCCACCTACGACGCTGACCACGACACAACGGAGGGCAACTGCGCCGTGACGGTCCATGGCGCCTGGTGGTACGAAGCCTGCTATCATTCTAATCTCAACGGACCCTACGCGATGTCCCCCACCACTGCCCACAAGTACGGCATTGACTGGGCCTCAGGCCTTGGCGTGGGCCACCCTTACCGCAGGGTTCGGCTCATGCTTCGCTAGGGCGCCCTGGCAACCAGCACTCTTATCTCTCCTGGGCAGCTTCCGGATGCCCGGCTACTTCCCCCCTGGCTAACTGCCTCTGCTCTCCCGTCCACATTTTAAAATAAAATCATTTTAACCCTTTCCTGGCTTCCAGTTACTGGGGAAAACTCAAGAGGGCAGAGTAGGGACATAGGTTTTAGCTCCATTCAGGGGAGACTCCTTTCAGTCAGGACATGGGAGGCTCAGCCGCATAAAGCAGGAAGGCTTTCCTCGCTGGAGGTGTGCAAGCCAAGGCCCGGGGAACACTTAGGGAAGGACTTGGGACTCAAGCGTTCACTGACAGCGCCCTTGGGCCCTGTGGGTCCTGCACATGGGTGGTTTTGTGGTAGAAATTGCACAGCTTCCTCACCCTCCCTCTCTGTCGCCCGTGCCTGTCCTTTCTAGGTTGTCTGTTTTCCGCCCCAGCCCCGGTTGTAAACCAAGGCCTCATCCTTGGCTTCTTCTCAATGGGTTCCACCAGGGGCTGGTTCACACTCAGGGCCACGCCCAGGGCCACAGGGAGTGAAAACGCAGCCACCGAGCTAGCGGTTATCAAGCCGTGGATGTGCCACAGCCACACTCTAGGGCAGTGACGGCGAACCTTCTGAGCTCGGCGTGTCAGCATTTTGAAAAACCCTAACTTAACTCTGGTGCCGTGTCACATATAGAAATTTTTTGATATTTGCAACCATAGTAAACCAAAGACATATTTTTGATATTTATTTTATATATTTAAATGCCATTTAACAAAGAAAAATCAACCAAAAAAATGAGTTCGCGTGTCACCTCTGACACTCGTGTCGTAGGTTCACCATCACTGGGCTAGGACGTGGCAGAGCAGTGAGCAGTGAACCGTCTGCTGTCTGCAGTCTGATAGGGAGCCCTGGGAGTGCATCCTGCTGGGTCACGTGACCGAACGATCTAGGACGTGTTACTCAACCTCTCCAAGTCCCCAGTTCCTGACTGCAGAGTCCACTGAGGTTTAGACCGGGTCGCTGCCGCACCAATTCACACTAAAAGGGTAGGGACTCCTGGGAATTTGGAGATGGGAAGCTGTTGTAGTCCAAGGGCTGGAGTTCTGGGATTCTCCTCCAGGTGGGTAGAGAGATGCAGGTACGAGGCCTCTTCTCAGGTCCCGTGGTCGCAGTAAGTGGAGGTAAAAAAAATCAGCAGATTGGTTTTTGTGGAAAGCAGCCTCCTGGCAAGAGGGGTTCAGGTGCCGAGTCCCACGCTAGGGCTGATGGCCTCCGGACAGGTGGAGTCCTTACCTGGAGCACAGCCTGCAGGCTCTGGAGATCCATTCATTGCACAGATCCATGCCGGGCAGGGCCTGCAATTCACACCTCGTCCCTAGCCCTGGCTGCGCACACCGTCCGAGCTCCTGTGGTGAGCAGTCCCCAGTGGTTGGCATAGACAGTGGCACAGGCTGTTCCGGAAGTGGCGGGACTCAGAAGTTCTGGCTGGAGAGGAGGGAGGGGAGAGGCGAGTCCCGGGCTGCTAGGAGCGGAGCTGCCCCAGGCCGAGGGTGGAGCTTTCCTGGTCGCCGGGAAGGGCTGGGCCCGGCCTACCAGTGAGGGCAGGAGAGCGCGGCGGCGGACGCTTCCCAGCGGAGTCCGAGCGGCGGACGGGGTCCGACGGGATCTCCCACGTGACTCGGAGCCGCGGATCGCCGGATGCCCCAGATTCCCCGGGCCCAATTCCCGATTTCGGATCCTCAGGACCTTCCAAGCCGTAGCCTGGATTTCGCCCTGGACTCCAGGTTCCGAGGAACGGAACCTTCGGCGGGACTTCGGACCTCTAGATCCCGTAGGAGATTCAGGATCTCAGGCTCCCTGGACCCGTCACCCCCGGCTCTGGCCCGGCCCCGGGTGCCCAGGACGCGCCCGCCGCCCGAGCGCCCCCGCATGGCGGGACCGTGCCCGCCGCCCGGGGCCCAGGAGCGCGCGGGCAGCTGCTGGCAGGACCCTCTGGCCGAGGCGCTGAGCCGGGGCCCGCCGATCGCGCCGCCCCCAGGCCGGGGCTGCGCTCGGAGCCGGCCTCTCAGCCTGCTCTACGTGCTGACCCGGGAGCCGCAGCCCGGGCTGGAGCGGGACGGGGCAGCCGAGGCCGAGCCGCTGCCCCTCCGCTGCCTGCGGGAGGCCTGCGCGCAGCTCGTGGGACCGCGGCCCCGGCCGCAGCTGCGCACCCTGCCCTTCGGGACGCTGGCGCTGGGGGACACCGCGGCGCTGGATTCCTTCTACAACGCGGGTGAGCGCGCCGGGCCGGAGGGGGCGTGGCTCGGCGGCTGCGGGGCGGGGCGGGGGGCGAGATGCGGCGAGGTCGGGGGCTGCACCGGGAGCTACAGCTGAGGGCTCGGGGCGGGGACCCGAGAAAAGTGAGGTTCAGGAGGTGTGCAGCGCGGCCAGGCTCGGGCTAGGACTTAGCGGGTCCAGGCCGACTCCGGGGTTCAGGGTCGGGACCTAAGCATGAGGAGTCGGCGCGCGCCTGGGGAGCGGGGCTAGCCTTGGGCCGGGGCGGGGAGCCGGCCGTTTAGGAGTTGGGCTGGAGAGCTCCTCCTCGGGAGGATCCCGCGCGGAGTTGTGAGGGCGGATCCTGGGAGGTGGAGCTTGGACTCGCCGAGGGGTTCTGCGAGCGGGGCTGGAGTTCAGGGGTCCTCGCAGACTGCTTCGGAGGAGCGCGCTAAGGAGCAGAAAGGAGAGCGAGGGACCAACCGACTGGATTCTGGGCAAGGAGCTTAGGTTAAGAGGACCCCTTAACCCCGAGACAACGGGCGGGGCTGGAGGCGGGCCGATCGCTCGTGGGTGGGGCCCGAGGAGGCCTGTCTCTTCCACCAACCCTCACGCCCCGCCTCTGGATACTTATTTGTTTATCCAAGAGCCCTGGCGCCCGCGCTTGCCCTATGTTCGTAAAATCGGAGCCTAAAAAATGAAGGCCCACCGCCCTCGAGGGCACAAAGACACGCACAGGGTTATAGACAGACTTAGAGTCACACAGATGTCAATACACAGGTCCTCACAGACCCTGTCACACACAAAGATCCAGTCACAGCCCCCCCCCCAACACACACACACACACACACACATGCACACACACGGGCGTGCACACACACACACACACACACATACACATACACATACACACATACACATACAGCACAGTGTTATCTACACACAGTGCTGGTACCTTTCAAGAGACTGGATGGCAGACCCAGGGAAGTGGACTGAGTGTTAGCTCAACTCTTGCTTCTCAAATGGCCTAGAACAGGCTCTGGGCTGGTGCCCAGCCTTCTCTCCTCTGTGTAAGAACCAAAAGGACCCTAAAAGCAGGAAACGGAAGCCAGGAGCAAAGTTGGATCCTGCTGGAATCACACAGGAAGGCAGGCTGAGCCAGGATGGAGCCCCAGCCTCCTTCCCCACCAAGCTGGGTTCAGGGCTCAGGGCCTCCACCTTGTGCTTGCAGACGTGGTGGTGCTGGAGGTGAGCAGCTCCCTGGCACAGCCTTCCCTGTTCTACCACCTTGGGGTACGTGAGAGCTTCAGCATGACCAACAACGTGCTTCTCTGCTCCCAGGAAGACATCCCTGACCTGCAGGCCCTGCGGGTAGGTGCCAGGTGGCTGGTGGGGGCAGGCACAGGGCGGGGGTAGGGCCTACCCAGAACATCAGTGTTTGTCTGTTCCCTGCAGGAGGACATTTTTCAGAAGAACTCAGTGAGCAGAATCCACCCCTCACTCCAATGTGCCCTCTGACTTCCATTATAACCTCTGACCCCTCACTACCTTTCCTGGCTTCCTCCGTCACCTAATCGCCCTAATACCCCTCAATATCTGTGTGGCTCTGCTCCCGATTGCCTTCCTTCCTGCAGTGTGTCCCTTTCCTGCTATTCCAATTTCCACTGGTGCTGACCTCTGACCCCCTCACTGCCCCTCCTTAACCTGGTGCTGACCTCTGATCTCTACTGACTCCTGCCTCCCTCCCACCAGGATTGTGTTGGCAGCTACACACTGATCCCCTATGTGGTGACAGCCACTGGTCGAGTGCTGTGTGGTGACGTAGGCCTCCTGAGGGGCCTGGCTGATGGGCTAGTCCAGCCCGGGGTGGGCACTGAGGCCCTGCTCACACCCCTGGTGGGCCGGTTTGCCCGCCTGCTGGAGGCCATGCCCACGGACTCTTGGTAAGGGGGACCCAGAGAAGGTGCACCAGGAAGAGGCTGGAGAGGGTACAGTGAGCTGGACAGGCCCCACCATCCCCTCTCCCTCCCTCCCTCTCCTGCTCCGGGCATCAGTGGCTATTTCCGGGAGACCATTCGGCAGGACATCCGGCAGGCCCGGGAGCGGTTCAGCGGGCAGCAGCTGCGGGAGGAGCTGGCTCGCCTGCAGCGGAGACTGGACAGCGTGGAGCTGCTGAGCCCTGACATCATCATGAACCTGCTGCTTTCCTACCGAGACGTGCAGGTGTGCTGAGAGGCAGTCGGGCACAGCATTCGGTGTCAGACAAACCCGAGCTCAATGACCTGATGTCTCTGAGCCTCAGTTTGTAATGCGGATGATCGCATCACTGTCTCCAGTGGCGGTTGTGAGGTTGGGGCACGCAGTGGGTTCTCCGTGTAAGGGGTGGTGTCTGCACTACCTGCCAGGCCTGAGGGAGAGGATGGTGGGTGGGAAGGTGGGGTGTCAGGGGTGGGAGGGGACCCCCAGCTCAAGGTTTTCCTCAGAGGCTGGTGCCGATGGGACCCACCAGAGGCCATTTAGTCAGCGTGTGCTGTTCCCTCCTGCAGGACTACTCAGCCATCATCGAGCTGGTGGAGACGCTGCAGGCCTTGCCCACCTGTGACGTGGCTGAGCAGCACAACGTCTGCTTCCACTATACATTTGCCCTCAACCGGTGAGTGGCAGAGCGGCGCTCGGTCATAGCCACGTGGGAACATGGGTCCCTGCTCTATGAGGTCACTGCTGTCTGAGATCAGTGCTGTTCAAGGAATTTGCTGACTAGGGTCACGCTGATGTCAGAGGGTCCTGTTGTTGTTCTACTACTGCTGCCCAAGGTGAGGTGAGGTGGTGCCCTTGGGGAGGTCACAGCTGTCCAAGGTCACCTCTCTTCAGAGTCATTGCAGCTAGAAATCACTTCCATTTGGGATCACTTCCTCTAGAAAGGTCAGTGCTGACCACAAGTCACTGCCATTCTGTGTTCATTACTGTCAGCTCCCTGGAAGGGTCCCTGCTGTTCAGCATCTGGGGGTCCCCAGACCGAGTGGGACAGGGCCATCCGGCAGGTCCCCAGCCCATCTTCCCCTCCCCTAGGAGGAACAGGCCTGGGGACCGGGAGAAGGCATTAGCTGTGCTGCTGCCACTGGTACAGAGGGAGGGCCCTGTGGCCCCCGACCTGTACTGCATGTGTGGCCGTGTCTACAAGGACATGTTCTTCAGCTCTGGCTTTCAGGATGCTGGGCACCGAGAGCAGGCCTATCACTGGTAAGGGGGCACCAGCAAGTGGACAGGGGGCTGCGGGTGGGGCCGTGGGCATCAGTCCAACCTTGCATCCCTCTGCCCAACCCCCAGGTATCGGAAGGCTTTTGATGTGGAGCCCAGCCTTCACTCAGGCATCAATGCTGCCGTGCTCCTCATCGCTGCTGGGCAGCGCTTTGAGGACTCCGACGAGCTCCGGCTCATTGGTGAGCCCCAGTTCTGCACCCCTGTCCTCCCAACAGGCGCCCAGGGCAGGGAGAGAGAACACTGGGCGGGAGCTAGGACTGAGGTCATCCCCTTCTGGATCTAGTCTGCCTGAATCTACACCTGGGTCCTCCTACCTGTCCTGGGCCCTTGTGAGCCCTTAAGCCCATGACTCTTTGTTCCTAAGCTCACATCTTCCACGTGCACTTGTTCCCACACCCTCACCTGTGTCTGAGCTCCTCCTCCCACCTGAGATCGCGCCACACCTACATTTTCACCCACATCTGTGCTCCTGCCCACACGAAGGTTGTGGCCCACACTTGGGCTCTGCCCACAACTGCAACCACACTCACTAGAGCCCATGCCCCTCACTCCCAGGTATGAAGCTGGGCTGCCTGCTGGCCCGAAAAGGCTGTGTGGAGAAGATGCAATATTACTGGGATGTAGGCTTCTACTTGGGAGCTCAGATCCTTGCTAATGACCCTATCCAGGTGTCACTGGCTGCAGAGCAGCTATACAAACTCAATGCCCCCATATGGTAAGTGGCCTCCTCTTCCGTCTTGTGCTCTCAGCTCCTGCATCTATGTCCACTGGCCTGAGCCCTGAGCCAAGGACCTGGTCCCTTCCAAACCAGTGCCCATGACACCTAATGCCCCCATTCAGCCCACGCTCCCGGGCAGTGCTAGCTGGTGCCTGGCTGAGTTGAAGACAACACTGTGCCCGCAGGTACCTGGTGTCCATGATGGAAACCTTCCTGCTGTACCAGCACTTCAGACCCACCCCGGAGCCCCTGGGAGGGCCCCCACGCCGTGCCCACTTCTGGCTCCACTTCTTACTACAGTCCTGCCAGCTGCTCAAAGCAGACAGTCCCCAAGGGGACCAGTGCTTGGTGAGGCCTGTGGGGTTAGGGGATCTGCGGGAGGGGTCGGACCCTTCTGACCTACCCCCCCCCACACACACACACACCCTTGTCCCCTGCAGGTTCTTGTCCTGGAGATGAACCAAGTGCTGCTGCCTGCGAAGCTGGAGGTTCAGGGCGTGAACCCCGTGAGCGCAGTGACCCTGAGCCTACTGGAGCCTGAGACCCAGGTGAAGCCACCACTGAGGCCCCCTACTCACCACGAAGCGTAGCTTCTCCTGAGCCTCTCTTCCATGCCCAGGCCCCTCTTACTCCCGGGCGCCCTCCTCTGACTCCCTTTCTTCTCACAGGACCTTCCCTCCAGCTGGACCTTCTCCGTCCCCTCCATCGGCGGTGTCAGGTGAGGGCAAGGCCTGGGGCAGTCGGGTGGGGCGCGCTGCTAGCTGGCCTGGCGCTCACCTGTGTCCTTCATCCCTTCCCAGCGCCTCCAAGCGGGACGAGCGCTGCTGCTTCCTCTACGCACTTCCCCCGGCTCAGGACGTCCAGCTGTGCTTCCCCAGCGCAGGGCACTGCCAGTGGTGCGCAGCCTCTCGGGTCGGGTCGGGGCGCTCTGAGGGCTGGGATGTCCGGGGGAGTGAGGGAAAGGAAAGGATGTGTCCCCTAGGTGCTCTCCGCGCAGGAGGGGACACTTTGCGCCCAAGGTACCCCTCCGGCCAGCCTGACCTCCCGCCCTCAGGTTCTGCGGCCTGATCCAGTCCTTGGTGACGAATCCGGATCCCAGGGCGCCCGTGGAGGAGGCAGAGGGTGTGTGGGAGGTGCTGGAGGTGAGGAAGGGGGCCTGGGAGCTCGGGGAGGGGAAAGGGCTGAGAGCCCTGCTGAATCCCCATCTCACCCGCCCCGCAGTTCGATTACGAGTACACGGAGACCGGGGAGCGGCTGGTGCTGGGCAAGGGCACGTACGGGGTCGTGTACGCGGGCCGCGACCGGCACACGCGGGTACGCATCGCCATCAAGGAGATCCCAGAGCGGGACAGCAGGTGTGCGCTGGGCTTGCGAGCCAGGGTGGGACCAGGAACTGAGAGGGTCATGGGGGCGGGGCAGTAAGGGGGGCGCTGATGCCCTATTGGTCGGGCCCAAGTGGGCGGGCTCTTGGACGAAAGAGTTCGAGCCCAATGGGGCTGCAGTCAGAAAGGCAGGGACCTGGAAGGTCGGGATCTGGTCTGGAGGGACCTGCGGACTGAGTGATTCCGTGGGAAAGTCGGGGAGGGGATTGTGGGCGGGGCATTTCCCGGGGGCGTGGCCTGGCTGGTGCTGGAGTTGGCTGGGCATCTCTGTCCAAATCTGGCCTGTTCCTCTCTCCCTACCTGCTCCCAGGTTCTCTCAGCCCCTACATGAAGAGATCGCTCTGCACAAACGCCTGCGCCACAAGAACATCGTGCGCTACCTGGGCTCAGCCAGCCAGGGCGGCTACCTCAAGATCTTCATGGAGGAAGTGCCTGGAGGTACCTGTCCTCCCGCGATGGGAATGGAAGTGGGGGTGTGGGGCGTGGGGATGGAGCCAGACAGGGGTGGAGAGCCCTTAGGGGACATGAACCAGAGCGTGTGTGTGGGTGGTGTAGCCCACAATTAAGCTGATGCTATGCAGTTGGGTGATGGAGTCTGGGCCACAGTATGGGTGTGTCTGGGCAGAGAGCTGTGGGCTGGAGAGAGAGGGTGGCAATGATGACCTTGAACTGCACCTGCCCAGGCAGCCTGTCCTCCTTGCTGCGGTCAGTGTGGGGACCCCTGCAGGACAACGAGAGCACCATCAGTTTCTACACCCGCCAGATCCTGCAGGGACTCAGCTACCTGCATGACAACCGCATTGTGCATCGTGACATCAAGGTAAGCCCTGTAGCTGGCCCACCTTGGCTTTCTGGTGGGCGGGAGGGAGGAGGGGGAGAGATATGGCCCCAGACAGAGGCTGGCAGTTTAGACTTAGCTGGCAGATCCTTTGCAAAGGGTGGGAAATTCATCAAGAAGGTGCCCTAGAGAAGGAGACCAGATCTGAAGCCAAACCAGGTGTCAGCTCCCAGAGGGGCATAGTGGGATGGGAGGGGGAGGAGGCTGATAGAGGCAGGGTCAGATTGTGATTCCCAGGAGATGGGCTCCTGGGGTAGGGTCCACTTCTGTGTCAGTACCCCAGCTTAATGTCCACTGAGCAAAGTGTCCACTCTCCTCAGGGGGACAATGTGTTGATCAACACTTTCAGTGGGCTTCTCAAGATTTCCGACTTTGGCACCTCCAAGCGGCTGGCGGGCATCACCCCTTGCACTGAGACCTTCACAGGTAACAGGTGTGGGGTGGTGAGTGGGGATGCTGACCTGGGGCAGGATGCTTGGGGCCTTCCCGAGAAGGTGCTTCTCCTGGGCATGGAGTAGAGTTAATGGGGGATAGCACCCAGGGCAGGCGATTGAGCCAGGGCTGAGGTGATGGAATCTAGAACTGGAGCTTGGATAGCTGAGGACATTGAGTTTAGTGCCTGAAATGGAACCCAGAAGTGTTGCTGCGGACCAAAGTTGGCGGTAAATTCAGAGTGGCTGATGGAATCCAGGTTATAGGATGGAACCCACTGCAAGTGATGGAATCCATGGATGGGATGGACCCTAAGATGAGTGAGGAAACTCAGGTAGATGTTTGACGACCAGGATAGGTGATGGGAACTGTCTTGGATGACAGAGCTCAGGGTGGGTACAGGCGGCCAAAGGAGGAGCGAGCCCCTGCCGCTCCATAGCGATAAAGCCTAGGTGAGCATTATCACCACTGCTCCTGGCCTAGGGACCCTACAGTACATGGCCCCAGAAATCATTGACCAGGGCCCACGCGGGTATGGGAAAGCGGCTGACATCTGGTCGCTGGGCTGCACTGTCATCGAGATGGCCACAGGTCGCCCACCCTTCCACGAGCTCGGGAGCCCACAGGCTGCCATGTTTCAGGTGAGTCCCCTCAGGCCCTGGCTCAGCAGGTGGGGTGGGGACAGACGGTGCCTTGCACGCCTCTAAACTTAATTCTTGTTTTCCCTCCCGGCCCCCTCCCAGGTGGGCATGTACAAGGTACATCCGCCAATGCCCAGTTCTCTGTCAGCGGAGGCCCAAGCCTTCCTCCTGCGAACGTTTGAGCCAGACCCCTGCCTCCGTGCCAGTGCTCAAGCACTGCTGGGGGACCCCTTCCTGCAGCCTGGGAAGAGGAGCAGAAGCCCGGGCTCACCTCAGCATGCTCCCCGGCCCCCAGGTACTGCGTGGGTGAAGAGGGGTGCACACTGGAGTGAGGGCAGAGAGCTGTGGAGCTGAGGGCTGATGCGGGGCCCAGGCTGACAGCCCTGTCCCTCCCTCAGATGCCCCTTCAGCCAGCCCTCTTCCTTCAGCGGACTCCACCACCCAGTCCCAGACATTCCCACGCCCTCAGGCACCCTCTCAACACCCGCCTAGTCCCCCGAAACGCTGCCTCAGCTACGGGGACACCAGCCAGCTCCGGTGAGAGCCCAGGGTCCTGGGGCGGGTTCACTTTATCTGGTTTTGTCCTTGTACTCCCTCCAGAATAAGCCCTCTCCACGGACCTGGCACCTGGACCACTTGCAAGGATGGCGCTTGGTGCCTACCTCCCAATAGCTCTTACTTGTGTTTCGTTAGGGTGCCTCCTCCGTGCCAGGTCTCTCTTTCATCCCTGTGAGAGAGGCCTGAAAGTCAAAGCCAGAGCCGGGATCCAAACCCTGGGGCGGAGGTAGCTGGTCGGTATTGCCGCCCGCCCTCCATTGGCCGCTCCCCATTGCACCCAGGGTGCCCGAGGAGCCCGGAGCCGAAGATCCCGCGTCCCTGGAGGAGAGTTCGGGGCTGAGCCTGCTGCATCAAGAGAGCAAGCGCCGGGCCATGCTGGCCGAGGTGCTGAAGCAGGAGCTGCCCACGCTGGCGGAGAATCTGTGGCTGGAGCAGGACCAGGTGGGCGGCCCGCCCCCACGCCCCCTGGTGGCAGAGCACCGGCAGGACTCCGGCTAATGGCCTTCCCCAACCCCAGCCCCTTACCAGCATCTCTCTTGGCTCAAATGGAAACACCTTCCTTCTCAGGACCCCCGTCTGGGCAGGGATCTTGTGGAACAGCTACTGCACTGCCTCGGGGCGCACATCCACACGCCCAACCGCCGGCAGCTGGCCCAGGAGCTGTGGGCACTGCAAGGGCAGCTGCGGGCCCAGGGCCTTGAGCCTGCACTTCTGCACAGACCACTCTTTGCCTTCCCCGATGCGGTGAGTGAGTTTTCTCACAGTTAGGGCTGCCCAAGAACAGCTCATGAACTCCCTGTGCAAGGTCTTGATGTTGAAAGATTCCATGTCGTCTTCTCTGTGACGATAGAGCCATCAGGGAAGGGACATCTGCACAGTCCTAGCTTCCCAGCCCCTCCCTTGACTCCAAGCCGGTCCACCCCACTTGCTTCAGGCAGACTTTCTAGGCCTTTCCACCTCCAGCCCCACCTCTCCGAGGCTCAGCAGTCTCAGCGGCGCCACCCTCCCTCCCAGGTGAAGCAGATTCTCCGCAGGCGCCAGATCCGCCCGCACTGGATGTTTGTGCTGGACTCGCTGCTCAGCCGCGCGGTCCGGGGAGCCCTGGCGGTGCTGAGCCCAGGTAGGCCAGGAGCGGAGGTGGCCTGCCTGTGGGCGAGGGCGTGGCCCTTGGAGGCGTGGGGAACACCAATGGAGCTGGCAGGGGGTGTGATCACCAGGCCTGACCCAGGCCAGGAAGGAGTGGGTGGGGCAGTGACCAAACAGACATCTCCCGGACTGACACCCCCCCGGCCAGTGCACAGAGCTCCCCACGCCCTCTGCCCGTGTCCGAGGGTCCCAAATGCCCGGCCTGAGCTCACCTCACTCTGACCGGCAGGAGTGGAGAAGGGTGCAGCCCCACAGAGGTCAGAGGAGCCCAGTAAAGAGGTGCCCCAGCCCAAGCAGCAGGACACCCCAGTCCAGCCAAGCCTGCTCCCAGGGGAACCCGAGCAGAGCCCCCCACCTCTGATGGTGCAGCTGGGCCTCTTGCGAGCAGAGACTGATCGGTAAGCCCCCTGGGACCCATCCCTAGCCTCTGTGTGAGCGTCACCTCCACTCTCCCCTCCCTTCTACTGGCCTTCTGCCATCCAACAGGCTCCGAGATGTCCTGGCTGAGAAGGAGTGGGAGTGCCGGGCTCTGATGCAACAGGCTCTACAGCGGGTGGACGAGGAGGCCAGGACCTGCTCCCTGGCCTCAGGGCCCCCAGGTGAGCGGAGGACACTGATGGTGGTGGGAGGCAGCTTCTGGCAGGAGGCACCCCTGGGTTCACCTGATTTCTCCTTGACAGCTGCTCCAACAGTGGACCAGGGCCTGGTGCAGTGGCTACAGGAACTGGACGTGGATTCAGGCACCATCCAGAGAGTGAGGGAGAGGGTGCTGGCTACCCATGACCTCTACCAACCCAAACTCCACCTCTGCCCCTCTTTCAGCTCATGTTTCCCCGCTGATACAGAGAATCTCAACATTAGAGGCACAGTTAGGATTCCCCTCCCATTGTAAAGATGAAAAAACCGAGGCCCAGACGGGGGGGGGGGGGGGGGGGATCTGCCCTAGCATGCTGGTAGTAAAACAGAACTAGGCTCTGATTCTCTGGACACATCTTTCTCTAATTTTAATCTCTCCCTGTTCTGTGTGGGCATCTTTGTCCACAACCAGCTGCTGAACCACAGCTTCACCCTCCATGCCCTACTGACCTGCGCCACTAAAGATGACCTCACCTACACCCGAATCAGGTATGTCCTGTGCCCTCCAGGATGACCCATGCGTATGGGATCATGCTGTTCAGATCCCGACCCCCAGCTACAGGCTTGCCTGGCTTCCTCCCTGGAAACCACAGGGACACCAGGCTCCCTTGGGGACAGAGGGGGCATTAGGCAGACAGTGGGTACCAGAGAGCCCAGGGTCTCTGGCTGAGCCACAGTGAATTTGCTACCCCCAGGGGAGGGATGGCATGCCGCATCTGGAGAGCCATCCTGGCACAGCGAGCAGGATCCACGGCTGTTACCCCTGGCCCCCAGGAGGCAGAATGAGGGCACCAGAGGCAAGAGGCCAGACCCAAGGACGGGTGAATGGAGAAGACGCCAGCAAGTTCTGACACACTCACCCCAGGGCCCGGGGGCAACTGGAAGGGACCAGGTGGCGGTAGGGGCAGTCCAGCCACAGAGATGCCCAAGTTCACTGAGTACCACCGGACAAAGACTATTAAACAGAACACTTTTGTACCTTTGGGCTTTGGCAACGTCTGAGGTATGCGGGGGTCTTGGGGCCAGCTCTCTCAGGTCTTTATGTCTGACTCTAAAGTGCCTTCACCTGGCCCCCTGCACTTCCCTCACCCCATCCCCCTAACCCCAAGCAGACATCAGCCCCTCGTTGCCCTTAGAATAGACTTTATTGACTTCCACTAAGGGCAGGCCCTGAGATGGGGGTCCGGAGAGAGGTTTGCCAAGGCTTGCAGGCACCTATGTCCTGGGGGCCAGGTTGGTTCGGAGGGGCAGAAGGCCATCCACCCACTCGCATGGCCGCTCCAGGAGTGTCTGCCACAGCTGCTTCTCCTCAGGTGTGGAATCCATCCAGGGCACCTGGAGCCCGTAGCTGCTACCTGGGCAAGAGTGGAGGTCATGGTCACGTTAGGCACCCAGGTCCCAAAGAACACCTGCCTGGTCCAGATTACGCACTGACACCAAAGTTCACAAAAGGAAAATGCCCAAGGCCACTCAGGAAGCCCCTGCCTCCCAGCATTGGTTTCCCCCGAGGGTCCTGCCCACTTACCGGTGCCCAGGCTGAGGCGTACGGCCCCCAGCTGGCGGCTGGCCAGGGCCCCATGGTCCCAGAGGGAGAGCTCAGCACAGGCCTGGCGCAGGTCAGCAGGCCGGAAGCCGTCATAAACCATGGTGTGGTTGAACACGGGGCTGAGGCTCCTTCGCACCACCCTTGTCCGCTGGCGGCTGGCCCGGCTGTCATCAGGCAGCACCGAGCTGTGGGGGAGGTGGGCTAGCATCAAGTGGCCACCCCTTTAGGCTCTCCAGCACCAACCTATCCTCCCGCGCAACGTCCACGTCCTCTGGCTCCTGCCTGAGAACTGGCCTCCAGCCCTCGATGCCCTAGGACTTTTGCACCAGCCTCCTCCCAGGTCTCCTGTGAGTAATGGCTCTGAAGTGGCATTTTGCTACTCCCCAACTCAAAGACCTTCATGACTCCCTGCTGTCCCTCAGAGTAATTTCCAAACTTCTTAAAGCCTTGGGGCCCTTTCTGCAAGATAAAACATTGCTCAGAAGTACAAAACCTAAGAGAAAAACAATGCCTGGTTGAGTCAGGGCTGGGATCTCAGAACCTGTTCGGCCTACCTCCATTCACTCTCTGAGGGTGGGCAGGACCTGGGGACACCACCAGAGCTACCCCGGAGCTTACTTTGAAAATCACAGAGCTGCAGGGCCCACAGCCTGGCCCTGCAGGGTCTCCATGGAAGGGCCCCTGTGACCCCCCCAGGTCTCAGCCTCAGCTCTCCAACAAGTCCTATAGGTGCCAGCCACTGAAATGCAGTCCTTAAAGGTGTCCTCAACTCTCTGGCCTCAAGCTGCCCCCTTCACCCTGCTCAGAAGTCAAAGCCCAGACTAGGGGATCAAGGGTGGGCGATCAGAAGGGGGTGGGGAGCTCCACTTAAGGCAAAAGGAAAGGTGGGGAGCTCCCAGGGCCCCTCACCATTGTATGTAAGAATCCAGGGATCCGGAACGAAGAGGTACCAGGTCCTGAGCTCCCTTCACCCAGAAGTGCAGCTCCCCGCTCGGGGGCAGTCCTGCGCCTGCGGAAAGGCCGGCTCAGGCTTCGGCCCACGGACAGAGGCCTCCCCATTGTGGGACAGGAGTTCCCACTTCCCAGGGCCAGGCCAGCTGGTCTCTCCTGGGCACCACTCACCCTCAGAGCCAGCGGGGACGTATTTGAGGGACAGAGAGAGCCTCCCGCGGCTGGGAAGGTCGTCAGGAGAGGGCGAAACCTGCGAGAGGGGCTGGTCAGGGAGCAGGGACAGGACCCAAGGCAAAGAGGCCACAAGGGACAGGGACGGGGTGGAGCCTCCGGACACCGATGGGCTGGGTGAGCAGGGTGGGCCGGCAGAGCCTCGAGGAAAAGCGGCGAAGGTGGAGTCTGCGGGGCTGGGGAAGGCTGGGCGGTGAAAACGAGATCTGTGCCCTGGGTCCCACCGACCAGTGGCCTCACCCGGGGCTGCAGGGGGAGCCAGATGGCCTCGGAGTCCCAGTCCCACGTGCCCAGGGGCACTTCGACTTCGCCCAGAAAGATGTTGCGACCCAGGCTTTCGCGGTGCCACACGGACAGGCTCAGCACGCGGCGGGCGAGCTCGGCCTGCGAGACCGAGTACTGGGGACAGGCGGTGCCTTTAATGCGGGGCTGGTCCTGCCGCGTTCCCGCAGGATGGAAAACGGGGGACCCCGGAGGGAAGGGCATTCGCGGGGGTCTGAACTGACGCTGCGCCCACCACCCTGGGCTCCCTGCCCTTCCTCCCGCGGAAGGCAGGACGGCGGGGGGGGGGGGGGGGACAGGCAGTGACCCCATGTGGCCGCCCCTGCCCCCTGAGCCCTCGGGCAGGGAGCCTGATTCCTGAAGGGGGGGGGGGGCGCCCCAGGCAGCCTTACCCGCAGCGTCTCGTTGAAGACCGGGTTCAGATTCCGCTTCTTCACGGCCGTCTTGCGCTTGCTCTGCTTGTCCGGGAGGAGGTAGCTTTTGACGTAGCTGGGGGGGGAGGGGGGGCGGGTGAGGACCAGAGATAAGGGGGGAGGGTCCTCCCAGCACCTCCTCCCCGGCCTGGGGGCTTCCCCAGCCACACACTCACACTCACACACACACACTCACACACACACTCACACTCTCACACACACACACACACACACACACTCACACACTCACACACACTCGCGCACACTCGCACACACACATTCTCACACTCGCACACACACTCATACACTCACTCGCACGCGCACTCACACACACTCACGCGCGCGCACACTCACACACACTCGCGCGCACACTCACACCCACTCACGCGCGCGCACACTCACACACACTCACACACTCACACACACACACTCACACTCAGTTTCCGTGCTAGCGCTTTACAGGAGTCATCTCACTCAAACCCACGCCTCGCAAGAACGTTGTGATCCCCATTTGAAGACCAGGAAGCTGGCCAAGACAGGTGGTGGGACTGGGGGGGGGGGGGGGAGAAGCGGCGCCGGCCCCCCCCCCCCCCCCCCCCCCCCCCGCGGGCGCCCTTCGGGGGGCGGGGGTGAGAAGAGGCTCCGGACGCCCCCGCCCGCCCGCCCGCCCGGGGCACTCACGGGTCGGAGCGGCGGCGCCGCGCGGCGGCCAGGCCCTGGCATTGGATCACTTGCACGTGCAGCTCGGCGGCGTCCGGCTCGTAGCACAGCGCGAAGTGCACGGAGCCGCGCACCTGCACGGCGTCCACCTCCCCGGACAGGCTCAGCTGGCTGCCGCTCAGCTGGGGGCGCGGAGGAGGGGCGGTCAGGGCGGGGTGCGAGCTCGGGAGCTCACGTGGAGGCTGGGGAGCGCGGGGTGGGGGTTCAGATGGGAGGCAGGGGGGCAAAGCCGGTGACGAGGTGCAGGGCGCTGCGAGGTGGCTGGCCCAGGGGCTGGAGGGTCAGGTCGGGGGCGAGGGAGGGTCGGGAGGGGCTGAGTGTCAGGCTGCGGGGAGGGAGGCCCCCTCACCGTGGAGGAGTTGAGGCTGGACACGGAGGAGCTGCTGCTGAGCACGCGGTCGAGCGAGGGGCCGCGCCCGGGGGCCTCCTCCCCGTTCTCCAGGACCTTGGACGCCGCCTGGATCTGGGGAGGGAGAAGTGTCGGGGCGCCGTGTTCCCAGCCCCCGCCCCGACGGCGCTCGGCCCGGACGGCTCGCTCCCCGCTCTCGCTCCGCTCCGGGTCTTGCGGCCGCCCGGCCGCTCCGCCTACCTGGGCTGGGCGGGGCTGCGGCCCCTCCTCTTCCCTGGCTGGCGGCTCCGGCTCTGGGCCCGCCTCCTGCTCGTAGACCTGTGTACCCCCAGGGCCGGGGGCTGGGGTGGGGCACAAGCTGCTGAGCCAGCCCCTCTGAGCCCGCCCTGCACACTTTCGGAGAGACTGGTTTGCAGCCCCACGACCTGAGGATGGGGCCCTAGTGCTGCCCTGGGGTTGTCTAGGGAGACCACCTGCCACCCCACCCCCACCCCCAAGGCCGGAGGAGGAGGAAGGTCAACAGATGGTTGGAGCCCCTCAGAGTTGCCTCTGATCCCCACGACCTCCCTGTGCTCCCCAGCACACATCCGCCCACTCACCTTCCTGGGCCTGAGGCTCCTCCTCATGATCTGATGCTTTTGGGGGGACATATGGTGAGGGGAAATCACGTCCCTGAAAGAAGCAAGGGGCAGAGGTCACAGCGGGAGCTAGTGATGAAGGCTTAAAGGTTATGATGGGGTCATAGGTCAGGGGCTCCAGCTGGCTGCCCCCGCTTTAGATTTAGCTCAGCCACCAGGGCAGGGCTGGCAACCAGCTGCAGGACCCGTTGGACCTGTACTTCACACACACACACACACACACACACATGCACGCACACTTCAGCGCCTGCCCTGCCTGACTCCCAGCTCCCATTAGTGGGGGACAGTAGCATCTGAGTCCTGGACCTCGACCTGCGCAGTCCCTACTCCACAGTAATAGCCAGATTCCGAGATTTTCTTAGGGGTCCACACTCCCATTTGACAGAACAGGATGACAGAGACACAGGCCTGGTTCTCAGGCTGGGTCTCTTTCCCCGCACCTGCCACCTCTACTCTCCAGTACGTTCCTTTATCAGTTCACGCAGTCACTCATCACTCACCTCCGCCTCACTGAGCCTCTCCTCAGGGGCCTTGTCTATGAGCAGTCTGGGAGTAGGGAGAAGCGGTTGTCAGGGATGGGACCCCGATGACTGGTAGGCACCCCCTTCTCCCCCCCCCCTCCGCCACTGCTACTCACCTGGGCTCCAACTCCTCTTCAGTCTCTTTCCCGGCAGCCTCCGTTTCCCTATTGCTACCCAGAGCTTGTTCTCCTGCATGCAGGTGAGAAGCTCTGTGAACCCCGCTCCACAGAGGGGTAGTACTGAAGGGTGGTACCCGACCAAAGGCACACAGTACCAGGGGCAGCTGGGATGGGACCCAGGGGCCCTCTACCTGTCCACACACACTGGGTGCCCCGGCCTGCACGAGGCCTGCCCTGCCCTGAGGATCTCTCACCCTTGGAGCTCTTCTTCCTGCGGATAGAGGCTCGGACAAGGTCAGAGCCAAGGTGGGCATGGTGGTGCCGGCGGGCGCGTGCTTCCTGGAACCAGTCCCCCGTCAGGATTTTCAGCTGCCCAGGGTCTGCCAGTGAGGCCCGGAGCTTGCTGGAGGATTGGGAGGGGCGGGGGGCATGGCTGTTACCATTCACCCAGCCAACAACATTCCTGCCACCCACCATGTGCCAGGCCCTGTACCTGGGGCCAGAGACACAATAGCAAATCAGACTTGACCCCTGCTCTGGAGGAGCTCAGGCTGGTGAGGAGACTGAGTCCAGAATAGACAAGTATATTACAGTGAGGTGGGTGCCAGGATGGATATAAGAAGTGCCAGTTTTGCCTGTGGGAATTCAGGAGGACTTCCCAGAGGAGGCAGCATTTAAATTGCCTCTAAAAGGACTAATTGGATTTCTTCAGGTAGAGAAGAAGAATTTATTCATTAAAGTGACTACTATGCCTAATCCCTCCTAATTTTATAAGGTAGGATTCCTTAGCCCCACTTTACAGATGAGAAGTCAGGTGAATAGCCCAAGGTTCCATCGCTAGGAGGTTATCTGTCCCCAAGCAGTACTTGTAAGTCCTGTGCTCCTCTGCCACTGGGCTCTTCCAGGAAGAAGGAAGGAAAGTGGGTGTGTTCAGGGACAGTGGAGCACCTGAATGGCTCTAGTGGACACTGTGTGTGTCAGGGGTGGTGGTTACTGGTGGAAGATGAGATGGGGGAGGCTAGCAGGGACCCATCAGGAAGGCCTGTGGACCACGCTTAGGAGCTTGCCCCTGACACATGATGCTGAGGAGCCAGGAGAGGGTTCAACAAGGCACATTAAGGACGGATCTGAGGAGCTCCAGATGCGGTATGGAGGGTTGGCCGGAGCGGGCAAGGCTGGAGGCAGGGAGGCTGGGAGAGGTGATAAGCAGAGCTGGCCAGGGGTACAAGGAACCAAACGGCAAAAACAAGAACTACCCAGATATCTGACAGGCTGCAGGTTGGTGGGGGCAGGGTGGGCCCCCCGGTGCCTGAGGCCCCCGCCTCTCGCCCTGCCTCACCTGACGCGCCCCTCCTCCAGCTGGCGCAGGTGGGCATCTCGCTTCAGGACCTCGGCAATGGCCTCCTGCTCCTCCTCTGTCAGGAAGCTGAGGTCCAACAGCCCATCGGCCTCGGGCTCTGGCTCATGCGCCATGAGGAGGTAAGGTGGGGCCCAGAGCCCCTCTTGAGATGGGTGGCCCCTCTTGAGATGGGTGGCCCCTCTGAGGCATCAGCTGGGGCAGTGCCCCCACTGGGCACACATGGCTCCCTGGGGACAGACTTGGGGTCAGGTCAAGACCTGCTCAAATATAGGGCACATCCTGGAGTTGACTGCCTCTTTCTGCCCAAATGTATTCTAGGTGGTGGGCAGGATACCACCCAGGAAGGCTGAGGTCAAAGTGGCATGAGATGCACCCTTGGACACACGTGTACACTATACCGGGACACATGTGTGCACTATACCAGGACACATGTGTGCACTATACCGGGACACATGTGTACACTATACCGGCACACATGTGTACACTATACCGGGACACATGTGTGCACTATACCGGGACACATGCATACACACGGACACATGTAAATACACCAGTCACACATACACACTGATGCCTGTACAAGGACAGGCACGCACACACCTGTTACTCCATGAAGGGCCCTATGTGGTCATGCCCAAACCAAGAGATGATCTAACACAGCTTTAAGCCTGCACACAGGCCCATGCCCACGAAGGGAGGCAGGACCCACAGGGCAGGTTCACCTGTACAAGAATAAGTCCTGGGACAAAGACTTGGCCCTAGATATCCACAGACCACACAGACTTTTGCACACACAGTGCTCCCCTAACTGGACTGTGAGCTCCTTGAAGGTAGGGACAGGCCTTCACCCCCAAAGCCAGTACTTTGCACACAACAGATGGTTGGTAAATGTTTGATTAATGAAACATTTGCACACACCTGGGGCATGAACACACACAAAACACACACATATCTGCTCACCCCCTGTCCTGGAACCTCCTAATGTGGGTCCCCTCCCTCCACCCTTCACCTCCACCCTGCCCTGGCCCATTTGGTCTTCCTGTCTGAGGCAACCTCCTCCCCAGTCTACACCCCCAACTTCCTCCCCCCGCACCGAGGCAACGGCCGCACCCACCCCCTCCCACAGACCAGGAATGCCCCAGCTGCCAGCCCTGCCCTCTTCTCCAGACCCCCTGAGCCCCTGGCTCTGGCCACGTGGGTCCCCCACCCTCCCTGACCCAGGACTTGGCTAGGGTCCCAGTGGTGGAGGCCAAGTGCTGGCAAAGCAGCTCCAGCTGCTCAGGTAGAATGGTGACTCCGGAAGCAAAACATTTGCTCAGCCCTGAGGGGCGTGTGGACGTGGCAAGGGGTCCATGACTGGGCCATGAGCAGAGCAGAGCAGAGCAGAGCCACGGTCTGAGACCACTGGGTGGTCTCTCCCATCCTTCCTGTCCCCTGCCATGCCAGGGCACCAGGCTGGGCTGCATGGGAAGGCAGGTCCTGGCTTGTGCCTGCTGCCCGCGCCCTGTGCCCTCCCGGCTGAGTCAGTGTCCAAGCCCAAGGAGCCCTCTCCCCGACTGCTCCCCCCTCACCTGGGAGCCTGGGGTTCCTGCATGTCTCCATCAGGCATTTGTATGGCCTGTGTGAATGCCTGCATGCTCCAGGTTAACACTAGCTCCTGCACCTCTACTGTGTTCAAGGTACTGGGTGCTGCAAACTCCTGGTTTGGGGCTCTTTTGTGGCTGCTGGGTGAGCCCATGGTGATGTCTCTGTTGAGTTGTGCTGTTTTGACAGTCGGTCCAGCAGGCATGTCTGGGTACTGAGGATCGAGAAGACTGTATATTTTGCTGGTGTATCATATCACTGCCTGTGTGTCACGCCACGGTGTGATGCTGACTGGTGGCTGCTGTCTGTGTGATGTGCTCAGTGACTCTCTGGGGGATCGTGTTGCATGGTGTGTGCATTGTGTATTTCCTACTGTGCTGTATGTGTAACTGAGCTGTGTGTTGCACTGTGTACTCTGGTACCCTCAGGACCACCAGGTGTGTGTATGTGTGCGCGTACACACATGTGTGCACGCATGTGTATGGAGGTGAGAGGACATTCTGTAAAACTGACCCTGCTCTTGTCTTGTAGGTCTGCCTGGGGCTGGGCAGTGGGCACCTGAGCTCAGGATCCCCAGCAGCACAGGCCTTCCTGCTGTCCCCTCTCCTTCCAGAGGCAGAATCAACAGGTCCTTCCTGCTCTGTTTCAACACTATGGGACAGATCCATTGGTCAATACAAGGGTTTCTCCATCTGTCTGGCTGTTCCAGTCTCAGACACACTCCTGCACCCCCCACCCCCAAGGTCCCAGAGGGTGCTCAGGATGCCAGGTGGCAGTGCCTGCCCTTTGGGACACTGACAGGGGACCCCCGTCCTGAAGCAGGTTACCTGTAGGGATCCAGTATGGAGGGGACACCTTCGTAGGTGGCCCCCGCTCCCCTGGCAGCCGAGTTTCAGGGACCAGGAGAAGAGCAGTGAGGGACTAAGGCTGACTCAACCGGCAGCCCCACTAGGAGGAGGAAACACCTTCTCAGGAGGGCCTGATGCAAAACCGGGCCTGGATTCTGATTCCCCAGGGGTGCGTGCGCCCTAGTCTCTGCTTTCAGAAAACCCAGAGCCGATTTGCTGGGCAGGAGAAGCCTGGGACTTGTCCCCAGCTCCGCTGCCAACCTACTCTGTCACTTCTGTCACCCTTGGGCCTTGGCTGCCCTCTGTAGAATGAGTAGCTGCCCACCCTACCCGCTGAGAAGCTGATGGGAACTTGCTTTGAAAGCCAAGTTAGAAGCCTTTATAAGAACCAGGGTAATGGAAGGATTGCCCACTGCAGTCAGACAGCCCTGAGTAGCTCCTGCTCTGCCACTGTGTGACTTTGAGCAGGTCTCTCCATATGAGCTGCAATTTCCTCCCAGTGCAAACTGGGCAGCAGAGTGCGAAGAGCCTATTATAAGGGAAATGAAAGTGCCTGGCACAAGCTGGCATATAGTGGGTACCAGGTGATCCCTCTCCAACATAGTCCCTTCTCACAACCACTGCCCATGTCCACATATGCCTCCTGGGAAGTGCTGGTCACGGCAGCGAGGCTCCCACACCCTCTGTCCCTGGGGAATCCCTTTGGGCATCCCATTCTGCTCCCAGATGCTGCCCTACCCTGCGAATGGCTTTGGGCCCTAGATTACATTTACTTTAAGACGATGGACCAAGGCCACACAAAAGCCTTGAGACCCCACAAGTCTGCTTCATTCCACTCTGCCTGTCATGCTACTTGGTATGGATTCAAGGACCAGATCCCCAAGAGAGGAGGTGGGGCCGGGAGAGGACTAAATGACACCCCACTCCTTTCCTCCCTCATCAGAACTGGCTCCAGTACTGTTATCACCACTCTGAGCACCTGTGCGTCACTCAACCACCCCAGCCCAAGGTCCATCCTCCCCCACTCTTTTGCAAGTCAGTTTTCTTTTCTGAGCCTCTTTTTACTGATCTGTTAAATGGGGGTAATCCCTTCATTTATGGTTTTCACTGCAATTTAATGAGATCCCTTCATAAACAAACATATGCAGGTACCACTGTCCTCAGAGCTTTACTGCTGACTACTCCCTGTCCCTTCACACCCTGGCCATCTGTGTCCCCTACCCCCACTGCAGAGTGCCTCCCCACCCGTGGTCACCTGCTTGTGGGGCATGGGCTCAGTGCCTGTGTGCTGTGGCCAGTTGCTTAGTGCCCCAGTCCTTCGGAGAAACAGCCCCTCCCCGCTTCCCTCCTTGTGCCCCAGCGATGCCATCTCACAGGGTGGTCCCGAGGGGGGGCTGCAGAGCCAAGCTGCTGGGTTTGAACATGGTGCTGCTTGTCCTACCTCAGTTTACTTCTCTGCTTATTTGTTCATTGGCAAAATGGGGATGATACACTGACCTCATAGGCTCCATGACAAGGCTTGTCACTGGACAAGTCCAGTCAGTAGCTGCTGGGTGATTTTCATGGCCCCCGTTTATGCCCTTTCTCTGCAAGGGTAACTGAAAATCCTGCCAGGCAGAAGCAGGCCTTAAAACGTTTCCCTATTTTGCTGTGATTTTTCTCTGTACCGGAACTCCCCCTCCCCCCCTCCCCCCACCAATCAATTCTCAGATGGACCCCACTATGCAAGAAAGAGGTTTGAGAATGGAATTTTTCTGAAGTGGGGAGGAACTTCAGGCTTGGAAACCACAGCACTGTGGGTCTGGGGTGAGCTGGGATAGCTGATCCAGGGCTCTGAGGGCCAACAGCTAGAGCCGTCCTCAAAGCCATTCTCAGGATGAACACAAAGGGCTCAAGATCCAGAGACCAAATCCTTCACTAGTTCAACTGACACCCGGCACAGGGCAAGGTTAGGAGACTCCTCCAAGTAAGTGACCTTTACACTGGGCCTGGGCAGAAAGGCCATGATTTTAACTCAGGACTGAGGTGGGAGGAGGCTGGAGAGCAGGGTGTGTGGAGTGGAGAATGCAGGGCCCGGAAGGCCACAAGTGGAGGCACAGTGGAGCAGGACAGCGACCGGATCACTGGGGGTCAGCACAAGGAACTTGGCCATGTGACTGGTGAACATGGCAGGAGCCAGGGGCTGGGGCTCTCTCAGCCTATCCCAAACTGCAGACCCCTGGGCTGTGGTCTGCTCAGCCCCAACCCCAGTCCTATTGCCAAGTTCCTCCCCACAGGGAGTATGGGAAGGATTTCAATGTTCATTTGCCTTGAAGAGAAAGCTTTGGGATAGAGGGTGAGGGACTCCCAGAGCCTGGGCCCAGGGCAGGATACCTGGGGATGCTCCGACCCTGTAAGCCAGGCACTGGGTGAAGACTTAACCAGACCCCTTGCCAGGGGCAGAGGTACCCAAGGACACCAAGGAGAAACGAGTTGAAGAAGTGAAGGGAGAAAACAAGGACAAGGCACTTTCTGGAGTTAAAATTCTTTATTGTCCTGTCCAGGGAGTGCCCCCCCCCCCCCGAATCCGTGGGGAGGGGTGAGGGGCAGCACAGGCCCTTCCCACAGCGAGGAGAGAAGAGGGAGCCCTGGTGAGGAGGAAACAGCTCCCCTCAGCTCCGTGATGGCGCTGGCTGCTCTGGCACATCTTGGACCCAAGGGGTGCCATCCCGAGTGAGGCCCACACCTGGGGCTGGGGCCAGGCTTTGTTTCCGCTGCTCTGGTCTGCAGGGTGTCACTCTGGACACATCAGTGTCACTCATCTCTCCAGCCTGACTGGGGGGCCCAGGCCCCAATTAGCTGAGGGATGTGGGCTCAAGTGGGAGCTGGGCCCTGGGAGAGTGGGTGGAAGGGGCTGCACGGTCTGGAGGACCCCAGGAGATGGGGCACAAACTACCCCTAGTGCAGCTTCTGGCCAAAGGGGGCCACCCAGCCCTGCTGGACCATTCCAGAGGCCAGCGGAGGCCCAGGTGGCTTAGCTTATGGAGACTTCCTGGTGTTCCCCGCCCACCCCAGGACCGAGCCCTGGCCGGAGAACAGGCTCCAAATCCCACTCTGACCCGTCTGGTGGCTCCAAATGCCCTCTCCTCCCCACCAGGCACTGAGCTGAGGCAGCACAGGAGCAGCTACAGGGAGAAGTTAAAGCCTTTCCAACAGATGGGCAGAGAGGGTGCCTCAAGCACAGGGGTCACCAGCCTGGGGAGGAGGGCACAGGGAACTTCTGAGTGACCAGTGAGACACCATACGCAACTACACCCCCCGCCCCCCCAGCCCTGCTCATCCTCAGCCTATTCCAGCCCACCAAGCCCAGACTCTTGGGTCAAAACCAGCAGCAGGCCCATCCCTGCCTTTTGGGGAGAGGAAAAGAATCTGGAACCAAAAGGAGTGGCAGGTCCAAGACCACAAGGCAGCCATCACCGAAGGTTGAAGACCAGGCTGGCAGTTAAGATGATGCTCAGGAGGACGACGAAGGGTAGCCAGGTCTTCACGAAGGCCCCGACGCTGAGAGGGGAGGGGAGTATTGGTGGGAAGGGCCGGGTGAGTGAGCCACCCCAAGCCCCACCCATCCCAACCCACGAGGGGCTGCTGTCCCCGAGGAAGCTCCTGGAACCGTGCCCTCACCCCATAATTTGGTCCAAGGGACTGGCTGGGCTGGCACCCGCTATGGAGGACTGCCACCTACGGTCCTTGGCAGGAGATGCTCCAGGCTCCTGGTGGAGACGTGACACCGCCCTGGGTGGGTGACAGATGTGCCCACCTTCTCTAGAACTTATTGGTTCCAACCACAACCACCCCAGTCTCTGGGGAGAGGTCTCCAGTCAGAGGACCAGGCCCTTGTCTGGGCATGAAAGCCAGGAGCAGCGGCTGCACACAGCTTTCCTAATGGGGCCCCGAGAGGGGAGGAGTCGGCAGGAGTGAACAGTGTTGTGGCTGCAGTCAGGGCTCTGGGTACAACCCCGGCTCTGCCCCAGTGTGTGCGTGGCCAGTTACAGACTTCTCAGGGGACCTCTGAGAGCCTCTGCACTGTAAAGACTCCCGAGAGCCTCCTTCAGAAGCTCTCAGTGATGACCGCAGCCGAGAAAAGCCTGGAGAGGCGGCCTGGCTGCCAGGGGCGTGCCGGCTCCAAGTGGGCAGGTCACTCACCCTCTCTGAGCTGCCTTTATCTGTGAATTGAGACTAACGCCTTTGACCTCACACGTCATGAAGCTGTGACCTCCAAGGTCCTCCTGAGCCACCACTGGGGCCCACCTGCTCAGAACCCTGCCTCAGACGCTGGAAGCTGGGAAGGGACCCTGTGGGGCAGTCACCCACTCTCCTGTGCACCCACAGTCTCTCCAAGGAGCCAGAATCATTACCCCCATTTTACCAAGAACAGCTGCAGCTGAGAGCCAAGGCAGTCACCCGAGATCTCAGTGAGCAAGTGATAGAGCTGGGCTTGGGACCCGGTGCAGCTGACCTTTAGCCCAGCCACCTCCTTGTCCACCAGGAACTCAGCTAGTTCTTCTAGAACCTTCAACATCTCCAAGGGGTGGTGGGAGGTGGGTAGCTCACCTGACATACTTCCCATAGAGCAGGCAGAAGAAGCAGACTGTCACCATGTTCCAGGTGGTGCTATTGTTGTAGCGCATCAGGTTCAGGGCCAACGCCACGTGTGAGTGGCAGTTGTCACAGCAGAGATTGTGCTGGATGCAGGAAGGAGGGGTCATGCGGGCTGTGGGGGAAGCTCCCACCCTGGCTCCCACCCCCAGGAGCGGCTCACCCACCATGCGGTGCTTGTACTCCTCAGAGGCGTCGTGCACAGCTGTGTCCCACGCATTGGGCCCGCTGGCGTATACCCGAGCAGGGTCCAACTTCCAGTACCTGAGGGGAGAGGGGGTTCTGGGCACTGGCTCAGCTCCACCAACGTTCCCTGGTGCCTGCTCTGTGCAGGGCCCTGAGCTGGGTATTGAAATTGCAGGGGAGAGCCAGGTCCAGGGCCGTGTGACAGTGTGATACGCCCAATGCCAGGTGGATCCTGGGGAGGACATGAGCTAACTCAGCTGGGGTGACACCGAGTCCAGCCAGAAGAGGAGTTAGCCAGGCACAGAACAGGGAGTGGGTACCCTAGGCAGAGGGAACAGCCTGAACAGAGGAAGAGGCACAAAACTGCGCAGTATGTAGCCAAGATCAAGGGAGGAACAGGGTGACGGGATGCCGGGAGGTGAGGCTGGAGATACAGGTAGAGCCATGTCGTAGAGGGCTTGACTATCACCCTGAGGAGTTTATCCATCAGAAAGCATTCCCTCCCATCTCCCCACAAGGAGATCAGGGTGAGTGGGAGAGCAGCTGGGGAAGCTAAAGCTCATAAACCTCAAGCTGGGTGAGACCCCGGAGGGAGTGCTGGGAGGTCAGAGCGCCCTCTGGCTGCTGTGAGTGGAATGGCTTGGTACCAAAGCCTAGAGCTGCGATTTTCAACGGGTGTGCCCCAAGAATTTTTTTTTTTTTTAATATATTTTATTGATTTTTTACAGAGAGGAAGGGAGAGGGATAGAGAGTTGAAACATCAATGAGAGAGAAACATCGATCAGCCGCCTCCTGCACATCTCCTACTGGGGATGTGCCCGCAACCCAGGTACATGCCCTTGACTGGAATCGAACCCGGGACCCTTCAGTCTGCAGGCCGATGCTCTATCCACTGAGCCAAACCGGTTTTGGCAGCCCCAAGAATTTTTAAAGCATTTCAATACCTGACTATTTAGTCAGGGCACTGATCTCTTTTCCCTTAGACTGTCAAATTAAAAAAATGACAACAGCTAACACAACAATAGCTGTCTGGTGTCAATGAATCACAAGTATACTTTTTTTTTTCTTTTTGTCAAATCAGCAAAAAATGTTTTGGGTGTGCCACAGAATTTTAGTAACTAGTTTATGCGTGCCAAGATATGAAAAAGGGTGAAAATTGCTGGCCCAGACACAGGGGACCAGTGAGAAACCATCACGGCCTGGGCGGGGGCTGCTCAGGGGTTCCTGCCCAGAAATGGGTGCCAGGAGCTTCCCACAGCAGCCTGGCAGCAGACACCCAGCTCAGAGGCCCTGGGCCCACATGTTCACCTGCCTGAGGAAGCCGCGGGCTGCCTCTGCTGGATGTGACACCCACTACTCCTTGGGCCCGGCCCTCCTGGGTGCAGCCTCTGGCAACAGAGCACCTGATGCTGTTGCGAGCATACAGATGACAGAGGCACTGTCACCAGAACCACATTTGAGGTGGGCCTCTGAGAGAGAAAACTTAAAGCCAGGAGTAGCTCCCAGAGGACTTGAACTGCTTTTATTCTCTCCGACCAGAACTTTCCAGGGGAGTTCCAAACAATGCCTCCTACACCTTAAATGGTGTGTTCACTCCTTGAGGGACAGGAGAAAGAGTCTAGGTTTTGGAGTGAGACAGACCTGGGTGTGAGTCCCAACTCTGCCACTTCCTGTGTGATCTTGACCAAGTCTCGTCCCTTTCCTCACCCTTCCAATGGAGCTGAAAACACGACTTTGAAGAGCTGAGGCAAGGTCTAGCTGGCCTGTGGATAAAGGACCCAGCTAGGAGGAACCTGGCCCTAGGGCCAGTCACATGGGTGCTCATCACTTACTTGACAGGCTTCCCAAAGGCCATGTTGTCTTCCTGTGAGGGACAAGAGCAGAGGTCAGTGGGGAGCCCACATCCAGCCTGGAAGATAGACCGGGGTTGGCGGTGGAAGTGCAATGACTTAGGAGGCATGTTGGGTGGGCAGCAGTGGGTCCGGGCCCTGCTCTGGGGCTGGGTCGGTTTGTGAAGTGCCAGCAGCAGCATGTTGGTGGAAAGAAGGCAGCATGGCACAAAGCCCTGTACACCGAGACCAAAGACTCGGGGTGCCAGCCACAACTGCCCCTTGGTGTGGCTCCTAGTGAATTCTCTCACACTCTCTGGGCCTCATTTTCTTCAAGTCCTCTGGTCAATTTCTGATCCTTCCTGGTATGAATGAGGACACCCTGACCTCCCGACCCAACAGCAGTGCCCAGAGAGCCCGTCTCTGCATCTGCCAGTCCGATTGCATTCAGAGCAGGACAGGGAGGGGGGAGGGGGTTTGAGAGGCCTTCCATAAGGGAGGCATTTTAGCCAGGTCCTAAACCTGCCACATAAGATGTGTAGGGACAGATTCTGGGTTCAGAATCTGCTGACAGCTGGTCAAAGATAAATTATCATAAAAGTATATGACAGTGAAAGCAATGGCTACGAAAGACCTTTCTGTGTAAGATGATCATGACAACTATTAATATAAGCAGGCTGATGCCACCACATACCCCCTTTACTTCAGCTTCTGATGAAGCTGCAACCTCGAAATAGCCAGGAACAAGCCCACTACACCCATTTGGGGCACATTCCCCCCAAAATACCTGAGAACATAGCTGATTCATTGTAGGGGGCCCGCCCCCTCTTCTCCATGGCCACACCGAGGGAACCATGTCAGCCTCCCCTGTGTCCCCAGCTTGTGACTCCCACCTTCTGAAGGTCCAGAGATGTGGTTCCTGGATGGTCTGACTCCACTCTTGCCTCTAACCCCTACCCATGTCTCAGTACCCAAGGGGTGGGCAAAGGGCTGGGTCAGTTACTTAAGAATCCTTCTGGCCACACTGCCCTCCTGGCCTGTCCTGGAGGCAAGAGAAGGGGTAAGTAAAGGCGTCAAACACTGGTGAGGATCAGAGGGCCAGGGCCCGGGCTGCGTGCTAACTGCATTCTCTTGGGTCTCAGGGAGATAGGGAGCTGCCTGCAGGCAAGACAGGCCAACCTTCCACTTAAGCCCAGGAACCCTCCAGAGGGTGTAAAAATGGGGACTCACCGAGACAAAGTAGGGGCCAGCAAAGTCCCGAATGACTCCTGTGGACGTGCAGATGCCCATGTGGCCAATGATGGGGAAAAACCACCTGCAAGAAGAAAGGACGGGGAAGGAGCTGAGCTTCGGGGATCTTGCAGCCGGTTAGACAGACGGCAGGGACACTCCATCCAGTGTGAGAACATGCGACTGCAGCTGTGTGTGATGGGTGCCAAAGGGTGGCTGGAGGGGCTGGGGAAGCACAGAAGAGGGGCAAGTGCCAGTGAATAGTAAAGGGAGAACACCCCACAGAATGGCTAGAACTAAAGGATGATAACGTTGAGTGGGTGAGGATGAGGAGCAACCGAACGCTCATGCACTGCTGGTGGGAGTATAAACACTTTCGAAAAACTGGCAATATACTCTATGCCTCAACAATCCCACTTCAGAGTATACACCCAATGGAAACAAATGCCCTGAACAAGAAAGTTCATAGCACCTTTAAGTAAAATAGCCAGAAACAACATTTTTCAAAACTCATTGAACTTCACACTTAAAATATATGCACTTTATTAGTTATCAGCTATCCTATATAATAAAAGCCTAACATGCAAATTGCCCCCTCGGGAGTTCTACCACTCACTATAATGTGCGCTGACCACCAGGGGGTGGCGCGGAACGAAGGAAGGCCCCAGCTGGCAGCCAGAAGGCCCCAATTGACCCTGATCTGTAGCCAGGCCTAGGGACCCTACAAGTGCACTGGGCCTCTAGTATCTCAATGAGTAAGTAACCTGGGGTACAGCCATTTAACGAAATAGTAGGTAACAATGGAAAACAATAAATTTCTGCTACACACAACAAATTCTCACAGATAAAAGGCAGAGTGAGAAAAGAAACATACATACTATTCTGTTTATATGAAGTGCAAGAAAAGGCAGAAGTAATCTATAGTGCTGGAAGGCAAAAGAGGGGTGATCTCTGTGGTAAAACTGACCGGCATAAGGAAGCCCTTTGGGTACTGCAAATGTTCTCTACCTTGACCTGGGTGACATAAGTATATGTATGTAAAAGCTCACTGAGTCCCACATATACTTAAGATTTAAACATTTTATGGTATATGTTATAGCTCAATGAAAAGTTATTTTTTTTAAAGGTGGAGGAGGCATTTAAACCAATCTGTGTGTGTGTGTGTGTGTGTGTGTGTGTGTGTGTGGTTCAGGGAAGGCTTCTCTGAGGAAATGATGAAGAAACAGTATGTGCAAGGGTAGAGATTAGGACGACAGCATGGTGAATTCCAGGAACTGAAAATTCAAATTCTTAAAAGTCATGGGCATTTAAAAAACCCAAATCTCACAGGGACCCCAATATGCAAACCACCTAGGAATCCCAGATTAGTCTGCAGTCTGAAAAGCATCGCTCTACGGGCTGGAGAGACTGATCCATTTTTTAAGGGCTGGCAGAGCCACTGGCCAGGTGCTGGTGTCAAGGCTGCACCCTGCTAGGGAGGTGGGGCAAAACCTGGGGAGTTGCAGCTCAAGGAAGTGATTATGTGGGGCTGGGGCAGAGTCAGTAAAGACTTCACAGATGAGGTGACTTTTAACTTTACCTGTGAAAGAACAGGGTGCCAACAGGCAGAAAGCAAAACTCTGAAGCTGCAAAGTGCTGCATGTGTCTGGAGAATGGGAGGGGGACAAGAGTGGAGGGAAGGACAGTGGTGAATTCAGAGGTTATTCTGAAATACTGGCAAAAGATGATGGTGATCCTGACCACAGAATTGGTGGTGGTGGTGAGAAGCCAATGGATTAAAATATCTTTGTTTTTTAATTAATTAATTATTTAAAAAACATCTTTTTATTGATTTTTAGAGAGAAAGGAAGGGAGAGGGAGAGAGATAAAAACATCGATGATAAACATCATCAATTGGCCGCTTCCTGCACATCCCCTACTGGGGACTGAGCTCACAACCGGTGCAAGTGCCCTAACTGGGAATTAAACCAGTGACCTCTCGGTTCCTGGGTTGACACTCAACCACTGAGCCACACTGGCTGGGCTAAAAGATCTTTAAAAGAAAGACTGGACAGTTTTATCATTTTCCATGGGATACAGGTCTCCCAGGTCTGCAGCCTGAGCACCTGAGAGGATGGGGCCAGAGTGTTTTTTTGAGAACATAATTCAGATTCCATCATTCCTTTGCTTAACACCCATTAATGGCTTCCTATTACAGTTTAAACTCCTTTCAATAGTTTCGCCCGACTTACCCCTTGAAGTCACCTCATGCCTCTCTCTAGCTACACTGCCTGCCTCCAGTCCCAGGGCACCAAATCCTCCCACTTCAACGCTTATTTTGCATTAGTCTCTGCCCAGAACACTCTTCCCCCAGAGCTTTAGAGTGCTGGCTCTTATTGTTTAGGTCTCAGCTTGACTGTAACTTCGGAGGTCGTCCCTGACCATGTCTTCTACAGTAGCCACACACACCCCCAGGCACCCTAGATCCAATTACTTGGTTTTAATTTTTTTATAGTACCTACTGCTTTCTGAAATGATGGTTGCTTACGTGTTTACTGTCTGTCTCCTCCCACGAGTGTGTAAGCTACAAGAGAGCAGGATTTTCTCTTATTTATCAGAGTAGCCCCTAAGGCAGTGGTCGGCAAACTGCGGCTCGCGAGCCACATGCGGCTCCTTGGCCCCTTGAGTGTGGCTCTTCCACAAAATACCACGTGCGGGCGCGCACATACAGTGCGACTGAGACTTCGTGGCCCATGCGCAGAATTCGAGAGCCGCAGTTTACCGACCACTGCCCTAAGGCAATGCCTAGCATTCAGCTGGAGCTAAGCATTCATTGACTAAATTATGAGTGAATGGATGCCCCACATTTAAGAGTAGAGTCAGGCTCTGAAATCAGACCTGGGTTGAGTCCTGACTTTGGTTTTATGCTTTTTTTTATTGATTGTAGAGGAAGGGAGAGGGATAGAAACATCAATGAGAGAGAAACAACAATCGACCAGCTGCCTCCTGCACACCTCCCACCAGGCATCCAGCCTGCAACCCTGACCAGGAATCAAACCTGTGACCTCCTGGTTCCTGGGTTGATGCCCAACCACTGAACAACACCAGCTGGATGGTTTGGGGCGAGTTACTCATTCTCATCTATCAGTGACAGGTGGATAGTAATGATAATTACCTCAATGAGGGGCTACTGCGAGGATTTAATAGGATATACTTTGTAAAGTGCTTAGCACACTTCCTTGCACTTGGTAGTTGCTCAGTGTTGTTATCATGATGTGTTCAATAAATACTTGCTATCTGATCAGCTGGACTGGCATAGAGTAAGCTGCTGAAGACACACAGTGGCCACAGGATGCATCAGACTCAGAATTATGAGAAAGTAGTTTTGCTGGTTTCTCGGACCCTAGCTTCAGGACCCCTCCTGCCTGCTCTTCCCCCCACCCCAATTCCGTTCATCTAGTTGGGGAGAAGGTCTGGGAGCAGTACTCCACATACCACAGCTGTGCTGACATCTGCTGATGGAAATTAAGAATAAAGGAATAAAGGCTAGAGACAACATCAGAGCCCTGTGCCCAGGGAAGTCCCCAAACAGAAACTCTCAAAGTATTTGTCAGTCTGGAAGCTTCATGAAGGCAAGCTCCACATGTGCTTTCTATGCAGATCTGGTATATAATAGGTCCTCAATAACTATTTATTGAATGAATGAATGAGCGAATGCTGGAGCTTCTATCTGGGAAGGTAGAATATCTCAATGAAAAAAGCCCCAACAGACCAACCGGCGGGGCTCAGTGGTTGAGCATCAATCTATGAACTAGGAGATGGCGGTTCGATTCCTAGTCAGGGCACATGCCTGGGTGGCGGGCTCAGTCCCCAGTAGAGGGCGTGCAGGAGGCAGCTAATCAATGATTCTCTCTCACCATTGATGTTTCTCTCTCTCTCTCCCTCTCCCTTCCTCTCTGAAATCAATAAAAATATATTTTTTTTAAAAAAGAAAAAAGCCCCATGCTGGCTTCTAAGCCTTTATTTCCTCATCTATGAAATGGGATGACAGTATCTATTTTCATTCGGTTGATGTAAGGACTGAATGAGAAAGTGAATATAAAATGTTTGGCCCAGAACAGAGTAAGTACCCAACCTTAGCTGTTTCTATTAGTAATAGTAACTATTATCTGACTTTTCATAAAGAATTATCAACTTCTGCCGAAACCGGTTTGGCTCAGTGGATAGAGCGTCGGCCTGCGGACTGAAAGGTCCCGGGTTCGATTCCGGCAAGGGCATGTACCTGGGTTGCGGGCACATCCCCAGTGGGAGGTGTGCAGGAGGCAGCTGATCGATGTTTCTCTCTCATCGATGTTTCTAACTCTCTATCTCTCTCCCTTCCTCTCTGTAAAAAATCAATAAAATATATTTAAAAAAAAAAAAAAAAAAGAATTATCAACTTCTCTGAGGGGGGTGGACAGATCTTTGGATTCAGCTGCTTCTCCTCTGATCCCCCATCCAGAGAGAGATGACAGCTCCTTGTGCCACATCTGTTCCTAGTTCTGCGCTCTAGGTCAGCAAGCATCAGTGTGCGAAGATGGTGGTTCACCTGTCTCTCTCCCTACTGCTGGAGGGTGAGTCATTTTATGTGCACATGAGCTCTTTGGCTCAGTGGATAGAGCGCTGGCCTGGGGACCAAAGGGTCCTGGGTTCGAGTCTGGTCAAGGGCACAAACCTCGGTTGCAGGCTCCTCCCTGGCCGAGGAAACCAATCGATGTGTTTCTCTCACATCGATATTTCTCTGTCTTTCCCTCTCTCTCCCACTCTCTAAAAATCAACGGAAAAATGCTCTCGGGTGAGGAATTAAAAATAAATAAATAAATAAAAAGGACATTTAATGATACAAGAAGCTCAGCTTCACCACCTGAGAAGGCATTTCCTACCTTAGAACGTGGCTGTGAAATTCAGAGAAAAATATGAGAGAGAGCTTGGGCAACTGTCCAGCACTGTGAGCAGTGGCCATTATCAGCTGTCTAAGGCTGAAGCAGGAGGGCAAACCAGGTCTCCCCAGCCAGAAGCTAAAAAAAAAAAAAAAAAAAAAAGGCGGCAACACTGCCTGCGTTCTCTCCTGATGAAAGCTAATGCCACAGAAAGCACCTTTGTCTGGGAGGCAAGCACCCTGGGACCTAAACACGCTTTGCAGCTGAGATGGTGTGTAATCTCCGGGGTCATCCGTCAGACAAAGCGCTGAATCCCAGACCTCTGGGGCCCTAACAATGCTGACATCCCAGGGCGGGTATGATCCTAACAAACTCCTCCGGACTCGGCGGGACAGCTTGTGCACAGAAAGAAATGAATAAACCGTGAATGTGAAGATGTCTTCTCAGGCCGTGTCAGGGGCCCTCCTGCGTACGAGCTTCCCAGCCACAGAGCCCTTCCCGCTGGTCTACAATCGTCCTTCTCCCTGACTCTGAGGTGCAATGAGGGCGGGGGGCACGACCCACCCTCAGCAGAAACCGGCACCGCTCGGGGCCAGGCCTGTGGACCTGGCCGGAGGGGAGGGTTTGCTGTGCATCCGGCCGGAGGCTGGCCCTGGGCGGCCCGAGCACTCCGCGCGGACCCAGGCTCTCCACGTCCACAGGCGGAGAAAACTCACGTGAGCACCGGGATGGGCGTCCACACCACGCAGTAGGGAAAGCGGCTCCGCTCCACGTCCATGGCGCCGCCGCCAGAGCCGCTGGACTGCTTCTGGTCCGTCTCGGCCGCCGTCGGCGCCTCCACTTCCGCCATCCCGGGCGGGGGTGGCTGCCGCGGCAACAGGAGAGGCGAAATTCCTTCCGCTTCCGCCATGCTGTGCGCGCCCCGCTCCGGCCCGCCCCTGCTCGGTCGCTGATTTCCGCGTGGCGTCACTTCCGGGAGGCGGGGTCCTCCCAGCTTGGCCTTCCCACCGGGAATTGGAGTCGCGTCCCTCAGGGCCTGGGTTGCCTGGCCCCGGGCCCTCGGCGCCCTCCAGCTTTGCGCGTTTGCACCTTCACCGCACGGAGACCGACCCAGAACTGAGGGCTCGCTCCTAAAAGGGGTGATGCAGTCGCTATTTATTGAGCACGTCTTAGGCGCCAAGCACTTGATATATATATTGTTTTTAATCGCCATGAATTGGTTAAACCTGCGAATTTAGGTATTTCTCCCAGGTTACAAGTGAGCAGTTGAGGCTCAAGCGGTGAAGTAAATGGCCACGACTCAAACCCAAGCCTGTCTCCCTTGTCCTTTTCATCCCATCATCTCTTACGAGGCGGTGGTAGCATAATGGAAGGATAGACTGAAATATTGTGTGTCGTGTGTGTCGAAGTAGAGACTTGGCTGAAGATATTTGAGCTGGGTCTTGATGTTTGCCAGGTGGCACCGGGGTGAGAGGCGGGTGGAGGGAACCGTGCAGCTGTGCAAAGAACGGCCTTGAAGAGCACAACTGCTGGAGTAAATCCTGAGCTTTAGATGCGCTCCGATCCCTTCATTGTACAGATGGGAACACTGAGGCTTAGGGAAGGTATATAATTGTCTGAGATATCACACAGCCATATAAAGAAACCATGCTCAAATCTTGGATTCTTTCAGCTTTTTAAAGGATGCCAAGATAGACCAAAAAATGCAGGGTGGAAAAGGGAAATAGGGAAACAAGGAAGACAGCACTAAAAACCGAGCCAGAGGGAGATATGGACAAGTCCACCAAGGTAGGTGGGAGTTACGTCTTTTTGGGAAGGTCTTCTCCCCTTGAATCACCCTCCCTCAATGCTGATCTACAGAAAAGCTGCTGTCTTGTTTTTTTTAATACCTAGTATTTTTTAAAATATATTTTTATTGATATCAGAGAGTAAGGAAGAGGGAGACATAGAAACATCAACGATGAGAGTCATTGATCGGCTGCCTCCTGCACGCCCCGCACTGGGGATCGAGCCTATAACCTGGGCATGTGCCCTGACCAGGAATCCTATCATCACCTCCAGGTTCGTAGGTTGATGCTCAACCATTGAGCCACAGCAGCCGAACAACACCTAATATTTTAATGCATTCTGAGGGATATGTCCGTCTGTTATGGAACTCTAAGGTCCTTGATTTCAGTAGCTAGCATAGTTCCTTGTGCAGAGCAGATGCCAAATATGTTTATTGAATGATTGGATGTTTTTAAAGACCTCATAGATATCACAGATGAAAATGACTCTAACCCACTCAAAACTCTTTGAGTATATTTGTGCTTCTCCTGTGACTCATGTGTGGTGTGTGATCCTCGAAGGGCATCTAGCACAGGGTTTGGAATAGATCAGGTGTGCAGTATGTATTTGTTGAATGAATTAATCACATTACATCTTAATTCAATCACTATAGCTATCTAATCTTCTAAATCACAGGCTCTGAAGAAGGTCTATGCCTTAGACATTCCTCTGCTGTCATTGTCAACTCGTAATTCTAGTCCTTTATTGTGTGTATAGATGCGTAAACAACGTAAAAGTCTTTCTCAGGGCCTGCCACAAACTGGGCAGTAGTAACACAAGTACTAGACTGACAACCTTGTATCTTCCCATAGCACTCCAGATAAACAAAAATATCTTACCATGGTTTACAAGGCCCTGCATTTGCACATGCCCTTTTCTTGTTTGTTCACTCTACTATAGTCGTCTTGGCCTTTTTTCATTCCTCTCATGTGCCATGCTCTTTCATGCCCAGGAACTTGGCACACACTGTTCTCTGAAACCCCCCCTGGCCCCCCACACTTAAACTGGCTAGCTTCCATTCATCTGAGATTAAATGTCACTTTCTCAGAGAGACCTTCCCTGACCACCCAATCTAAATTAGAAAGGCCCTGGCACTCTCCCTTGAGACACCCTATTCTTTTCTTCACAGCACATTTGTAGCTGTGTACTATTGGACTCCCCCACTCAGCTGGAAACTCCTTGAGGGCAGGAACTCCCTGTTCACTTCTGTAAACCCAATGCCTAGTATTGTCTAGCACATAGCATTTGCTTAATAAATACTTGCTAAATTGGATGAATGGCACATATTTCATTGGTGTCTACAGACAGTCTAAGGACAGGAACCTAGCTTATCACCCGCTACCTCTCGGTGCCCCAAGCTTTTTTAAGGGACCCATGGAGGTTGATTGGTACAGTGCTCTGGAGTAGGTTCTCACCAGAGAGCCCTAGCTCTCTTCCCTATGACCTGCACCATCCTACCTTTGGCCTAGGTAGCTGCATGTCTTAGGCAGGCACATGAGGAGGGCCAGGTACCTGGAGGTCTAGCTCCTCCGATTCCTCTGGGGCACCTACCCCAGGCTTGTTCCCCACCAAAGCCCATCCACAAGGCCCTCTCACACACATTACCTTTTTTCTCTCACCCACTGTAAAATCCTTCCTGGCTTGTGCCCTTTCCTCCTCTGTGGCTGCCACCCCTATCACCCACAGACAGATGGGAAATCTCCATCAAAGACTAACACTTCCTTCCAGGCTCAGGATCACAGCGGGGTCCTGGAAGAAGCTCCTCTAACAGAGCTCAGGAAAGGATTGATAGGGCTCATAGCTACCCCTCCCCCAACACATACGACCTAAAATAGGAATGACCATCTGGATCCACTTATAGGGCAGGCTGGGGGAGGGAAGGAGGGCAGAGCTGGAACTGTCAAGCTGGGAAAGCTTGGAGGGTAAGATGTTGCTTGTTTGAAGGGTGAACTCAGGGCACGTTCTCTCTTGGCCCCATGTACAAGTCCCCAGGGCTCACATAATACCTCCCTCAGGCTGTCTCACTCCTCACCCTGACATTCAAGGCCCCCCATGATCCGTCCCCCAATCCCCACCTTCTCTTCCACCCTCATCTCTGTCTCCCTTGGGACTTGCTTGGCATTAATTCACTGGGATGTCTGCCAGTCAGAGGCACTGCATACCTCATGTCTTTGCTCACACTGTTCCTTCAGCAGAATGCCCTTCCTCTATTCTCCTACACCACTTTCAAGGTTTCTAGCAAATGCTTCCTCTTTGCTCCCAGAGCACGGAGGCTGTTTCTACCTATTGAATATTCATGTGTACTTGCATTAGCTGTTTACATGCCTGTCTCCCCCAAGAGACTGCGAACTTCTTGAGAAGGGAACTGACTGGATCTATTGGTTCCTGTATTCAGCACAGCATCCGGCCGATAGGAAGTGCTCAGGGAGTGTCACTGGAGCTATTTGTTGACCATAGGTGGCCCCCTCTAAGGCTCTGGGGAAGAACCTCCTCCATCAATAACCCAGGGAAGCAGGGCTGAACCAGGAGCCATCATGGAGGAGCCTGGAGGAGCTGCTGGGCATTCTGAAGAGTGTGTGTGGTGTGTGGGAGCGCAGTGTCCTCTCCCCTGCAGCCTTTCTGCTTCTGTTCCATTCATTACCTTCTCTGGTTCCTGGAGACTGGGGTTCTCCCCATGACTGTCTCCCAGGATGGCTCCAAACCCTTTCCATGGTGAGGAGGCGATCATTTGAGAACAGACCTGATGCTTTAGATATCAGAGTTTATGATTTTCTTTTCCATCCCATTTTATAGATGGACAAACATACCCAAGATTAGAGAAGGCACAGCTAGGATCAGAATCTAAGTCTCCTACTCCCAGGTGGTCAGTAAGGCACTGTGGTTAAACATGTGGACAGCAAGCCCGGTGTTTGACCTCTGTCAGTGGTTGTCATACTTTAGGAAAGTACTGAACCTGTCAGGGCATCAGTTTCCTCATCTCTAAAATGGGAAATGATAACTCACATCTTGTAGGGTTCCCGTAGGTTTGATAGGCTACACCTGAACAGTTCCTGGCCCCAGAAAAACATCAGTGTTAGTTATTACAGTAGTTAAGCCCGGCGGATGTGACTTAGTGGATTGAGCGTTGTCCCTTGCACCAAAAGGTCATTGGTTGGATTCCTGGCCAGCGCACATGCCTGGGTTCCAGGCTTGATCCTCGATGGAGGACATGCGGGAGGCAGCCAATCAATGTGATGCTTCTCTCTCATCGATGTTCCTCTCTCTCTTTCCCTTCCTCTCTCTAAAAATCAATAAAAATACATATATTTTTAAAAAGACCACACATTATCATTGTAGGACTCTTAACCACTTAAAAAGCACTTTGATGTGCATAACCTCACTATGAGTTGGCGCTTCCTTGCAATGCGGTGAAGTAACTAGAGCAGTATCATAACACCCACTTTATCGATGAAGAAGATGCATTTGGAGACGTTCAGGAACTTTCCTGAGGTCTAAGTATATATTAGGATTGAGGTTCTGCGTCTCAAACCTGGGCTGTCTCTGCTGGTGACCTCTTTTAGGGCCATTAATGAGTGGATGAGGCTAGCCTGAGATCCTGTAAATTACTATAACAGGTGCAAACTATGCCCTCATTAAGACCAGAACCTATTTTCTTTTTTTTTTAATATATATATTTTTATTGATTTCAGAGAGGAAGAGAGAAAGATAGAAACAGCAATGGAGAGAATCACTGATCAGCTGCCTCCTACACACCCCCTGGGGATTGAGCCCTCAACCTGGGCATGTGCCCTGACCAGGAATCAGACCTTGACCTCCTTGGTCATATAGGTCGATACTCAACCACTGAGCCACACGCGTCATCCAGAACCTACTTTTGATCCAAACAATAGCGTGCCTCATGCCTTCCCTCCCTGCCAGAGAGCCTGGCACACAGCAGGGCACTTGATGGCAGATGTATGGGAGGATTCACAGTTCCCAGTGAAATGCATGCAGAGATCTTGCACAACCTCCATATTTGCTCTTCCGAATCTTCCAGATACTATGATGGCTCCGGGAGGGCAGGGACTAGTTTGTTGTGTGCATTTTCAGTAAGCCAGTGCCAGGCACATAAGAGGAGCTCAAAAAGTATGACATTAAATAAGAAAGTGACTTCTAAAGAACTGGACCAGGACTCAAGAGATTAGGGATCCAGTCCTGGATTTGCTTCTAGCTCACTGGGGTCCTTAGGCAGCCTGGAACCCAGGCATGTGTGCTGGCCAGGAATCCAACCAATGACCTGTTCCCTTTTCCTGCCCCTCTTTGGAATTCATTGTCCCTATTTGTACAATGTGGGGATGGGGCCAGATCAGTGGTTCTTAGCTCTGTTGGTAATTAGAATGAATCTTAGACTTAAAATAATGGGTGGATGCCTGAGACCCACCTCTGACCAATTAAAATAGAAACCCTGGGGTGGGGCATTGGTAGTCTTTACAAGTATCTTGGGTGACTCTTAACGTATAGCCAGAAATAAGAACCTCTGAGCTAGATGATCTCTTATTGCCTTTTAAGTTCTGCAAACACATTTCAGCATCCTCCTAAGCACAAAGACTGGCAGCCGCCCTCTGGGGCTACACCTGCCCACCACAAACACAGGGGTCCCAATTCTGTCTGTTTTGCTATACACTCACTGTGCAGGCTTATCTTTGCTCCAGGCTCTCTATCAGTATCAGCAGGGTTGGTGAGAGCTTTGAATGTCACACATGCAGAAGCACATAAAAAATGGACCACCATGGTCTTTTTACTGTCTCTAGTTTTGCCTTTTCCAGAATGTCATACAGTTGGAATCATACAGTGTGGCTTTCAGACTGGCCTTTTTCACTGAGCAACATGCATTTAAAGTTTATCCATGTCTCTGGCTAGAGCTCATTTCTTGTTGTCACTGAATATTCCATTGTATGGCCATTCCACAGTTTACCCATTTACATTTTGAAGGACTTATTGGTTGCTTCCAGAATTTGGCAATTATGACTAAAGCTGCTATAGATATTCATGTAGGTTTTTGCATGGACCCAAGTTTTCAATTCATTTAGGTACATACTAAGGAGAGCAATTGCTGGGTCCTATGGC